AGAAGTCAGAAAATCGAAGACAGAACTGAAGACAACAGTGAAGAGAGAGACAGAAAGCATAAGAACGCAGTCGATGAAAAAGTTATCAGATGCACAGATGGAATTCAACTTTGAATAAACAGATTTTCCGTGTTTTCAAGTAAGGAAGCTAAAAAGTTAGATGCCAAATTTTTCGAAAAATTCTTAGCAAAATTCAAATTTACATTGAACTGCGTAAAATTATCAGCGCTGCCAACAAAATTAGTATTCAGGGGCCCGCAAAGAACGGCAATGTTTGCGTGAACTGTCTGGAAAAGGGCAATTCTGGAAAAAGAGCACAAAAAACAGACCTTATTGGAGAATTCTTGAAGCGGTACCGGAACACCCCATTTTAGGTCACGCGTGATGCATCTTTTTTCCAGGCCTCCTTTCAGCCAACTTCTCGCAATCGAAATTGCATTCGCCGACCACTGGCTCTTCCTCACGCTTAGCTGCTTATTGATATATTTCTCCACTTCATCCTTAAAACAACAAATGGAGAAAAAGGGCCTCGAAATCCGGAAGATTAGCTAGAATGCGTACAAAAAAGAGAGAAAAACTAACAGCTAATGCGTCAAGATGGAAGAAGATATGCTTCGAGGGCTGAACCGTTGGCGTTCCCTTGCACTGCTGACACCGAGGATCAATAAGCTCCACAGCATTAATGAGTTTACTACATGCATCGCACTGATCTCCACGGGCATCCTCGAAATGGCAATGGGGGCATTCACCGTGCACAAAACGATCAGCCAAGAATCTTAAAATCATGAAAATGGAATGATTATCATGAAAACCGGGTGATTATCACTATCACAGTATCACGAATTTGGATGATAGGGGGCTTCGTTATATCCGTGATGCTTTGAATAGCTGCTAAATGATAACTCGGAACTCCATCTACGCAAATCAGCAACTTCTTCCATCACGGCGAGCATGTCTGCTAATATGGGGTGATGCTCGAAGCAGTATCAGTTGTACGCGATCCCAATGAATGTATTTGTCCAGCCGTTTTGTCGATATCCCAGCAATGCACTCGGATTTGTCGGCAGATTTAATGCAGCTTCTACTGTTTCTTTTTTTTTTTAACTCGTTGCCTCACTTTTATAGGTAGGGAGCTCCTTGACTTCAGCATGATCTCTTCATAAAATTTTCTGGCAGTATCAGCTTCGCAGCTTGCCTGGTAAGAGAAACAGCTACTTCGCTACAAATATCTTTGAAGTGCCCTAAGTCAAAATACGTATCTGAGCAAAAGGAAACTGGCATATTAGATTATGAAGTTATGTTTACGTGCTGAGCTCAGGACAGAACAGAATGGAGAAGCTGCCAACTGCAGCGCTGATGCAGTGAGAAGAAACACGAAATAATAAATTGATTTAAAAGCTCAAACTCACTTTTTGCAGTTGTTACAGTGCAACTGATCAATCGTATCGGTTGATG